ATCCTACTTTTTAGCAACGGGTCATTGGTTAGTATCATAAAATATGATACGAGTCTGTCTTGGCACTGGCCTGCATTGTCACCCAGATCGCCATGGTTTCATTTAGCAAAGGTCCTGAAATGTAACATTGGTCATACGTGTTTGACATGTTCCACTTTCAGTAGTTTTCAAGTAGCCATTGTAATCCCAAAACAGTGATGGTCTAAAAGCTTTGCCACTGTAGAAAGGTTGAACGAACATCATCAACATATCAGATTTGATAGGTACTGTTACTTTTTAATGTAAAAAAAAAAACCCAAACCTTTGAACTGATGTTTTGTCAAATAATTATCAGCAGTTGGCACCACATGATGAATGTAGATGACCTCTGTCTGATCCCATTGTTCAGAACTGAAGCCAAAATGTCTGTTTTTAGTAGCTGCAACAATCTGATTTTGGAAACAGTGTCTGCAAACTATATTTATGGAAGTCCCGTCTACACTCCTTCCCAACCTGCTAACAGGTTTCACACAGTCAGTCAGTGTAACCTAACACTTTTAGCCTCAAATAACCGATTGAAGATAAACATATGAAAAAAAAAAGGCAGATTTCAACTTAGCAAGGGAAGAGCTAAATGAACCAACAATAAAATAAAATACAATAACACACGGAAAAAAAAACCATTTAATTTTTTTATTGTTTATTCATAAAAATGTCCCATTTGTTTCCATAGAGTGGCAGGACTTAAAATTTGCACTCCAGTCAGCCTTGTAGTGGCACTTGTCCACTGTGACTTCAACTTCCAGCTTCCAGTCCTGTCTCTAGTTATAGATTATCTTGATGATCCATCTAGTCAGTCCAAAGGTTTTCTCTCTCTGAGGACTTGTACGCTCGTAGCCTCAGCAACATTAGCACAACACAGTAAAAGTACAGGCTTTAGAATTGATACAAAACAGTCACAAATTTGCCTGCAAACCTTAAACAGTGCCAAATTTGAACTCAGGTCCATCTGTTTTGTTTAAATGTTGAAAAATGACAGTTCTGACAATTCTTCTTTTAAAACAAATAAATTGAAGAGAAAACCGTTACCGTATTTTCCGGTGTATAAGTTGCTCCGGAGTACAAGTTGCATCAGTCAGCATCAAAAAGCATCACGAAGAGGAAAAAAACTATATATAAGTTGCTTCGAAGTATAATACATTTATTATGCGTCACCGCTGACCTGTCGTGTTTATTATGCATTTATTTAATGGTCAAAACAGCTTCATTACGCCTGTGCGGCATGGCGCCATCCATCCATTGCGGCCGGAGCTGCTAGCTTTCCAGCGTTCCTCCGCCTGCACCAGCTGAGTGAAGCGAGCGCGCACGGGAGGACTCGCTGTTGCAGCTCTTTGAAATTGAAAGCGTCAGTCAAAAATTGCGTTATGAATAAGGAAAAAAAATAAGTATACAAGTTGCTTCGGCATATCTATGCAAAAAAACTCAGACTTATACGCTGGAAAATACGGTAATTATATTTTCATGGACAATGGTAAATTAGAAAATCTCACTTTTGGTTAATGTAAACCGCCTTTAATTTCAGCAACGTTCACTGGCTTTTTAAAGACTATCCACTGTCTTAAACTTGCCATTCAAGGAGGAGATCGATGTCTTTCAGCTGCCATCATTAATGAAAGTTGCTCATTTCTATAACGAGGACGCGAGAACAAAATAAAGGCGCTGCAACCTGATGGTGACGTGCAGCTAGTTCAGTCTATCAGTGTATCCTTTCAAAATCTTGAACAGTAAATAAAAGAAGCTTCAACAGAAATCTTGCTACATCTATCTCTATATTCATGCAATCTCTATTTGCACTTTTAACTTTCTGAGGCGTCAAACTCACTTACAAAAGGGTGCCAGAATTAAAACCTTTTATCAAACTAAGGGCCAATTTTAGAATCTACTTTAACTCAAGTTAGATTCCCAACCTCTTTTCTTGGTCACAGGTTCCTCAACAAGAGTTCGAGTGGTCTCATTTGATGTTCTCTGTTGTGCTTTCGACATCATAATCAAATATTACTGAAAAAATTCAAGAGATAGAAGTATTTTACGTTTCACATATCATCTTGAGGGCCAGATAAGATGTCAACGAGGGCCACATTTGGCCCCCGGGCCCTGAGTTTGACACATATGGCTTAGAGGCAGTGATTCAAACGGGCAGTTTAAACAGCCCATCGGTCCATTTGGACACTTCTAGTGTACTTAGCAGGAGATGGTAGGGACTTGTTAGCCCTGTGGTCTTTTGAAGTCCAAAAAACATGTGGAAGAAGTTTTCTGATCAGATTAAAAGAGGAGAGAGATGAGGGAATGAAAGTAATTTGTTTTGGATGAGACTACTGGAGCGAAAAGTGATGGATGATGTGCAGTGTTAAAGGAAATGCTTTCAGTCATTCTAGCTACTTGCAGTACACAGATAAATGTTTCTGCAGCGAAAGAGCAATTTATAACCTGCAGCTAAAGTCAAATATTAGATGGAGCCCACTGAAAAGAAAATTAATGCATGTTTTTAGCTATTCAATTGATTTACAAAGCCTTTTAACTAATTGCAGTACCACCTAAACAAACTTGACAAAGTCACTTTTCAAGTCTGATACTCGTAGTTCATACTGGATATTTAATCACTAAATCTATTTACCTACATTTTTGTTATAAAACTTTATCCAGTTGCATTAAAGTTGAAAACGTTTTGCTCATCTTGAGGTAGTTTTTTTGTCCAGAAGTGGACAAAATATTTTTACAATGTCACTAAAACATTGTTTCATTTGGTTTTATTACCAAGTGCTCATATAGACAAACATATAGATTTATTATGTGCCAACTATGCTATTAGGAAATAATAATATTTAAAAAAAAAAGTTTAGGATAAGTGAAATGATGCTCAATAGATTTCAGAATTTTGATTCAGAGAACGCAACGAGGCCCGTTTTCTTGTGTTCTTGGCAGTCTGGGGTCCACTTAGGTAAACCTTAATCAGCCAAATCAAAACCAGAAAGCCGAACTTGCATTGAGGAGAAACCTCAAATGTTTGTAAATGTTTCTAGGAACTGAGGCACAGTGTCTCTGCCAGATGTTTTAGGTCATTGTTTAACATCTGTAACCAGTTTAAGGGAGGTTAGGAACAATTATTCTAACATTAAACTGAAAAACAAACACTGGATTAGTGTGACACTGTCCCCAAATAACCTGGCATGCAGTCTTCTGTAAATGACTGTTTTCTTACATCATCTTATGGGACGGATGACAACAGCCACCATCATCAGCTGATACTGTTTTCTTGTCAACCTCTTGGAAGTCGATGGCTTCATTCACTGACCGGCGTTCTCACAAGTCACCGTTATCTCTGCTCCTCCAGATAGGAGATGTCTGAGAGCTTCCTGCTCCTCTGTGACTCCTGTCTGCATCACCGCCTGGCAGTCATAAGTATACCAGCAGGCTGCACTCACAGCTTTATCTCAAACGAGGTTTACCAAAATGATTGCACACACACCCACGAGGAAATTCAGATTCCCCAACAAGGGACTGCATGAGAGGCTGGTTGGGACACTCATCTGTGAGCGGATTATCAGTTCGCCTACAAGTGTCACTCTTTAGTTGAATCCCACACACAGTCACAGACTGACAAGATGTGTGGGATGGGCCATCTCCTCAAACGGCTTAAAAATCCAGTCCAGCATTTGTCAAGGTTTAAACATAATAAATTGAATCTTATAGCTGGTGATAAAGAAAAAGCTGGGCATCAGTGAGCTCATGATGTCGTCACAATAAAATATGGCTCGTAGTTCTAAAATTACATCAGCGATTACCGACTATCAAAAAGTCCACAACATCTTGCATAAGAACCTATAGTCTGGTTCAGTTTATCACAAGGTAAATGTTAACTTACTACAGTTACCCAACAAGCTCTTAAAGAGTGAATCATGTAAAGATGAACACCAACTGTGTGGTTATAAAGAAGCTCAAAATTTGTGAAGTGGGACTCTGTAGAAAAGTTTCAATCAGTCTGATTGACTAAAACCCAATTATTGGAAATATCTCCATATATCACATATGGCCTTGTCTGGAAAATCAGGGTTACGTTCTGACCAGACTGACGAGCTAAAGGCTAGTCTAATCTGGATTAAAACCAAAGTCAATTGCTGTCATTTTAAAACAACTTCGATTGCAGAATTTTCTAGCGGTGTATGTGAATGATATTTTACGAACCTTCACAGATAAATCACATCATTGATCAAAAGAATCATGGAATTCAAGTTTGCAAACTCAACTAGCAGCAGCAGAAGCTAGTCTTAGCACTTCTGGTAAAAAAACAAACAAACAAAAAAAAAAACTATTATATCAGAGTAACAATTAATGTTATTAATAAGGGTAAGTGTTTATAAAAAATAGTGTCTGTATGAATCACTAAGAAATGTTTGAAAGTGCAGCTGTTTAATAACAGCAGCAATTTACTTTAGTCGTGGGCCTGCTGGAACTAGCCATTAGCATCCTGTCCATAGAACTACATACAACAGGTAAGATATTGATTGTTCATAACCTTTTTACAAAATTCCATTTGCATTGATTCATGTAAAACTAAGTGCAGCAAGAAGTCCTACATGAAGATTTTGCAAAATCAAGTGAAAAAAAAGATTAACCAAAGATTTATTTCCAACATATATCTTGGGTTCTTTAGTCATTGATTACACTTTACTATGTACATCAACACAACAGATAACTAGATGACTGCAAAAAAATGTTGATGACAAAACACATTTTAAAACAAACAAAAAAAAAATCCCCAAAAGTTTTATTAATAAATAGCTGCAAACTGGCTGACTTTAAAAGTTGCTCTTAAAGTGTGAACTAAAGGACTGGACACCTGTAGAGCGACAAATGCTTTGTTTGCTGTCAAATATAATCTGCGTGTTTGTATTACGTGATGATACAACGAGCAGGACCAATTGTAGGTTTTCTTGTGAATTTCTTGAAATTCTGGACCTTTACGAGGGTCCTTTTTGTGAAGAACTTCTTGTGACAAATTAAAAATAAATCCTGAATGTTTAGGGAAATTTTTATCAATTGATCCCACAAATAGCAGATAACAGATAAGGGTTGCCTCCCCTCCCTACCCACCTGGATCAGGAGAAACATTTCATATAGAAAAACACAGACAGAAGCCAGGTTGTCTGTGGAGGGGTCTAGACACACTGGGACTACCTGTTCACCCCATCTTCTCAGACACATTTCGTCTCTCCGTGGCAACCGTTTGTGAAAACATTTCAGATAGCTGACAGCCAGATGGAGGTCTTCTTGTGTGTCTAGGATCATACAGCCCAGTTCTCATTTTATGTCCATTTCTTCAATGTTCCCATTTGTGCTCGTCTTTGGATGCTATTGTAGAAACAGTATGCTGAAAGCCATGATGACGCAGCAACAAGCCACCCAGGGACTCTTCCGCTCACCTAAAGGAAGTCAAATTCAAGACCGTTATTTTACAACATATCACTGGCAAAGGAAATTATCTGCATAATGTAAAAAATATTGGGGTATTAATAGGCTCACCTATTCTGGCACATTTCCAGAAAATTCCTAGGAGCCTATGAGACAAAACAGACAGAAAAATTAAATAAAAAACAGGTGCATCTAAATTTTCGGACGATGATATTTTCCTTGCGTTAAAAATTGTTCCATAAATTCAATAAAAATTATTCAAAGCTAACAAAAAGGGGAAAGAATAATAATATATATTTTTTAAATCACTCCTGCCACAGTCCTCCTTGCGTGTTTGGATAACTCGCCTCTCCAGTGGTGCGTGAGGGAGAGGAGTTTATCTGTGGCCGTTTATGGACAGGGCCAGATTTATTAGAGAAGTTAATAAAAGTTTGCACAAAAAAGTTTGTAATGATGTAAATTAGACCTTTTGCTACTAGACTCACTTCAGTGAGATGTTTTCTTGTGGAAACGATGCTTTTCCTGTGTACATAATTTCGCTCCACCACATGTACCACATGAGGTGCAAATTACAATAAAGAAACGCTGACTCTGACTTTTCTGCACATTTATCAGCCATAACATTACAACCACTCCCCTAATATAATGTGCTGTACTTGGAGTCATACTCCAAAAGTGAATAAATTAGCTCTCGCTTACAGAGTTGTGGGAGGTTCTTTCCTGCAAGAACACTGCATGAGAAACTGCAGTGCAGAAGTCCTAGGAAGCTCTCCCTGTTTCCTACAGTGCTGCAATATGTCTCTCTGCCAGGGTCTCCGCTCTTTATTACACAGACAGAGAAAGTGCATGCTGTTGGGCATTTGCAAATTTGTCACAAAGAGACCACCAAAGTTTTCATCAGGTGATGCACAAAGAGCAAATATAGGGAGTGTGTTCCAACGCTGCCCAGCTGAGACGTACTGCCTCCTGGCCAGCGTGACTTCCTCAGGTTCTTTACCATTTGACTATCTTTGTGAGTTTTGCTGGAACAGTTGCACAGGTGGCTGCATGTTCTAATAGCTTCAGCCAGTCGTTGAAAGGATATGACATCATTGCAGTTCACTAGCTTTCCACATAAACACACCTGTCAAATAGTTGATGCATACCCCTCACTGAAAAAGTTCTGCTCGTACCTTGTGTTAAGAATGGGTTCTTGGAGCTCATGCAAGAACAAAATGGTAAAAATTTTGTCACGCAACTTTGTTAGTGAGAGCGGATTGCTTCACTTATTAGAGTATGAATCTAGGTCAAGCCCTTCAGTGTTTCCCCTAGGTTACTCGTCTCGTCAACGGGCTGGTGGGGTGGGGGTGCTGTTAATGGAGGGTTAGCAGAGAGCTACGTTAGTACTGCCGGTGCTGGCTTTTGTCGATGGTGGGGAGTAGACGTTGTACTGAAGCGTTACGGTACAAATGCTAGGTCTGAGCTGAGCTGCTACAATCTCTGCTCCCCGTCAAGAAGTAGCGGAGCTGTCTGCCGTGGGGACTGGGGGATTTTGTAGGCGGGACACCCATACAATGGATAACGGTAGGGGAAACACTGCATCTGTTGCTGTTAAAGTCATGGATTCTCAAAGGTCCACTGTGGTACTTGGAATCAAGTCATTTGTATGAGAAACTCTAAGTCCTGGCAGTTAAAAAATAAGCTCTCCAGGATCCGACTTGTTGATCCAGATGCTTAATTGGTGCCAAAATAACAACAAACAAAAAAAAAAATGAATTTCACCCGCCAGTTTTTCCTGGTGTTATAACTGGTTAGATTGTGTTTATAAATCTAAATATAATAATAAAAAAAAAAACATAACAATAAGTAACATAACATACTTATGATAAGTAACATAAAAGTAAGCTTACCGGTCCTGTTCACCCTCTACACAAACAACTGTACTAAAAGTCTTCCAGGCAATCTGGTTTTTAAATTTTCTGACAACACTGCCATTCTCAGTCTGCTTCACCAGAACTCAGATCTATCTCTGTACTTTACAGAGGTAAACACATTTGTTGAGAGTTGTAATAAGAATGATCTCACCATTAACATAAAACAAAAAACAGAGGAGATGGTGTTTGACCCTCGGGCGGTGGGGGATCATACCCCAATGTCCATCCACAAGGAGATAAATCAGGTCACTTCCTATAAGTATCTGGGTATTCACCTGGATAACCTCTTGAGCCGGAGTGACCATGTTGACCATGAATGCTCCCGGTTACAGCAAAGGCTGTTTTTTTGTTTCGTAGACTGAAAATGTTTGGTGTCAGTCAGAACATCGTGTTTTTATTTTACCAGGCAGTGATGGAGTGTTATCAGGTATGGGATGACGGCATGGTTCGGCCATCTCTCCATTCAGTCTAAATCCAAGTTGCAGCACCTAGTACGGACTGCTATGGAGGTGTTGGGTAGGACCGAAAAGCTCTCCCTGCAGTCCATCTATGAGCAGTCTGGACTTAGGCAGGCATGGAGGGTACTGTTGGATCCGTCTCACATCCTGTATGCAGAATATGAGCTCTTGCCTTCTGGTAGAAGGTATAGAGTCCCAAAAACTAAACTGAACAGTTTTAAATATTATTTTGTGCCCAACTCCATCAAAATTTTGAATCAACATTTTAAATAGATAATATGCTGAGGCCTGGAAGGTGTGAAAGAACTTTGGTGTTCTCTGTTGTTGTTTTGTAAACTATCGTGTTTGTAGTCTTCATTTTTAGCTGTTTGTATGAATTGTATTTGTATGAATTGTGCATTTACTGACTGTTTGGGCAGCTGCTACTACGCTATATATCCCCCTGAGTCCATGACAAATTTCCCCTACGGGACAATCAAGTATATTCTATTATATTCAATGAGACCAAAATAACAGCTTCTTTAATGTTAATGTGTCTGATCATACCCAGTCTTATTCTTGTCCAGCAGGCTGGGAGCCAGTGCTCTGATGTAGGCACAGGTACAGATCAGCAGGAGTATCACAGTTAGCAGTGACTGGAAGTTGAAAATGGCCGACTGCAAGATAAGAGGACAGGATTCATAAAAAAAACAGAAAGAAAAAAGTTCAGTTCTGCTTATTAGCACTGTATCGCAAAAACGGAAAAAACATCAAGTCCACTGATATATGTGTTGTACCTTCTTCTCAGCTGTGTCACATAAAGGGATGGGGAAATAAAATTTAAAAAAGTTAATTCATAAACATCAAAGTCTGCCAGTGTTGTTAAAGTTCATCAGCCACGTTCATTTAATGGTTGTAGGGAATAAAGAAACTGATTCTCATAGGCCAAACAATCAGCAAATATTGGTAAATTTGCTCTTATTTTTGATAATATTATACATTTTAAGCTCATATTTTTGTCTATTATGACATTAGGACTACAAGCTCTAATGTGTTGGTAAACATTTTGATACAATGACAGTTTTAGGTTATAAGTGCAAAACAAAAAAGTACAACTTCTTATTTTTTGTCACTCCAGGCTAATGTTTTTTTTTTTAATGAAGATTACCCCAAAATCATAGAACATACCAATACAACTTTCTAAGTTACACCAATGTATAACTTAACTGGACAATGGTTTTCAACAATGACAAAAAACACAAAACAAGGATGCTCAAACTTTCCATATTTTCTTTTTGTTACAATCGTGCAATCGTAATACAACTTGGCATTTGTGCCTTTTAATGTATATACCCATGTAACTGATACTGATCCTTTTTTTATTCAGCTAAGATCCAAAATTAGCTGAACAGTAAGATTTAGTGATGTTGAGCGTTGTTTAGCAGACAATTTATGACATAAATCTAACATCTTTTGACACAAACTACATGCAAATAACTAATGTAGAAACTGTTTATTAACTGCATTTATTACTGCAACATATGACATATTTTTTTCTGTAAGAATTACATCTTGAATTTAATCAAACTTATTACTTAAAGCCTGTGAAAAACTTATTACAATAATCCTTAAAGTATAAACTGCTTTGGACAAAAGTATATCTGCTAAATAATGCAATAAACTCACACAGAAAGATTGTGCCTTTTGTTACACATGCTGAGATGATAATCAGATAATCCTGCCCACTGCTGGATTATTTTAGATAAGATTAAAATGTTCTTCTTGCAGAGGAAAACAAAGCAGGAAACGGCAACAATACTATATTCTTATAAATTAATTAAAAAGGTAGTAAAAAAGAAACAGCACCGTCTTATCGCAACAATCTGACAAATGCATAAAAAACACAACGACGGATGAATAACTTTTTCTTGCTTTGTTGTTGACGCGTTACACAAATTATAAACATCTTCTCAATACTAATACATCACTTAAATTATTACCTTTTACGTGTAAGCAGTGTTGAACCAGATCAGATGTTTGTTTCCCTTGCTCCCCATTGTTGCAACGTGGCACACTACATAAACATATCACGGTTTTCTACCATTTAGTTTTACTAGTACGTCCTTGTTAACAAACAACTTATGCTAAAATACTATAAATAATTTAGGAGATGACACAGATGCATTATGCAATGATTGTTGAGAGAAAACCCTCACAGAAGCGCTATGCTAATACTAGCCTATTAGCATGAAGTTAGCTCAGTGCTTTAGCATTAACGACCACCGCCAACCAAACATCAGCGCTGGTTGTTGTCACAGTTTACTACAGACAAGAATTGTATTTGGAAGTATGTCATACATAATGCAAAGAAAATACGTGACATACTGATAAAAACAAACTTACCATTTTTGATAAAAATCAAAGCCACATCACACTTCCTGCTCTCTGGAATTTACGTAACGTGCCCCCAATGACGGGTTACGTTACGTTACGTACGCACTGCGTCGTAAACTGTTGCTGAGTGGCTGAAAGGAAAGCCCATAACATACAAGCTGTCAAGTTGGATAAGAGCTAAAAACTGCCTCGTTTGGACATCTCAACAATTATGTCGTAGAGTGACGTAAGTTTTGTTTAGGACAATTTTGTATTAGATGGCCTGTCTACATAAAAAAATATCAATGAATGTCAAGATAAACCACAGTAAAGTTCAAAGAGCACGGTTGGCCGCTGTGGCAAGCCGTTTTAGCATTTATTCGATGTCCTCGAACGGAAATCCCTTTCTCCTACTAGCGTGCTCTTTATCTGCGTTATTTGGATTTTTGGTTGCTCAAGTTTGACATATTTTTGTACTAGTTTAACAAACAGGAAGACATTTCTCCAACCATTGGAACTCTTGTCCAAGTATTAGGAAGAAAGGCCACCGTCTATTTCACCAAAAGTTCCATCTAAGTGTCTTTTTACCTTATGGACATCACGACCAAAGTACGGGAATGTGTTGTAGCACTTAATGAGTAAACATAAAAACACTAACATACAGTATTTGTGCTTGTATTTAGACTAGTAAACCCTTAAATGTTCAGTGGTCATTTAAGTCCAAATCACTTTTGACCATTAGTTGACTCATTATTCAGAAGAAGCATGATAAAATGCTTATTTATGTATTTTGATTTGTTTAACACATCAAGTTTTATTTAAGTTTGAAAAATTATATCTAGCCTAACTTTTGGCTAACGTTCGGCTAATTGGTAATTCTAACTTGTCCCTAGGTGTGAGTGAGAGGGTGAATGGTTGTTTGTCTCGTTTGTCTCTATGTGGCCCTGTGATGGACTGGAGACCCATACTGGGTGTACCCCACCTCTTGCTGGATTTGGACACCAGTGACCCATGACCCGAAAAGGAAGAAGCCGGTAAAGATAACGGATGAATAGATGGAAGTTATATCTAAAAACAATTGGATTAAAAAGTTTATTTAAACAAATTTTTTTTTTTTTCATTTAGCCTTTATTTATCCAGGTAGTCTCATTGAGCCACAAGAACTCATTTTCAAGAGAGACCTGTTTAGGGAGCAGATGGTGGGGGGTTAAGGGCCTTGCTCATGGGCCCAGAGTGGGGCGAATGAGGGTGGGGGCAGGTGTGGGTGCTGAGACCAATTTATAGTTTACCAGTTAGATAATGAAATTAACTTGCTTTTCAGGTAATTACTTGAAGCCTCGTCTGACCCTGTTAGTATCAATGTCTAGCTAGTAGAGAGGAACAACAAAATAATTTAGGAAAATGATGACAAATATGCAAAAATATCACAAATACATATTTAATAACGTCATTCTGACCACACTTTGTTCTCTTCATGGCAACTTTCCAAACCAGGAAGAAGTTGGACAATTCTGTTAGTATTATCTAAATATTCAGAATGCTAAAATTTCAAATGATGGGAAAAAGCAAAGTCAAAATCAGTTTTATACAGTTAGCCATAGTAGTTTGAGGTAATTGTTCAACTTTAAATTGAATTTATTTATAAAAACAAACATACCATTATAATAGGTACACAATCTGTATTTTATTTTATTTAACCAGAAAAAAGTTTGGGATCAAAAAATCGATTAAGCAAAAATAATTTTAACACTTCCTGTGACTTAACAAAACCCTTCAATGTATTAACCATAAGAATTTATACTTGACAAATTTTTCTGTCTTATTGTCTCATAGTGACGTAAACAGGCATTTTTGTGGTCCTCTTTCCTCTCAAAGTTTTCACAATGAAGTCTCCTCCCTCCAATCAGCCACACAGCATCTTGATTGCATTTAAACCATGTTTTGTAAGTCTCTCTTGTCCTTTCCTTCCCAGGCACTCCTAAAAAGGACTTCATGTAAGTAGAAATCTGTCAGACTGTAAACCACACATAAATAACCTTTTAGATATTTTTTGCTCTGACACATGTGTAAACAGGCTCACATTATTTATAATACGATTCACTTTTATAGTTAAAAGTGCACTGACCAGTTTAGGCATCACTCATTATTCAAATCAGGAAAACCTAGCTTAACTATTCACAATGAACCTACATTTTAGAAAATATTTGTTATAATAATTTGATTGTATGGGAATTGATACTTAAAGTGCAACATTAACCGGTATATGCAGATGTTACATTTTCAGGATAAAATGTGCATCTGTTGAGAAATGGCTTAAAACGTGTCTGAGGTGTCCTCTCAGCCTTCAGACTTCCACCAGCAATCTGATGGGAGGGAAGTCATATTCACAGAGACTCCACCTTACCTCCCACAGAGCTCAAAGGATCTATTGCTAGTTTTCCAATACCACATGCATGCTGCATGCTTTGACTAGTTTGAAGTGCTCAGAACCAAAATTAGGGCCCTAATGTTTTTTTTTGTCAAGCAGAAGAGGCAAATTATTTTTGTGGCATTGTCTAACTTTATTTACAAGGAAAATGCAGGTATCAGTGCAGATTTTTTAATTTACCCTTTATTTATACAGGTAGTCTCATTGAGCCACGAGAACTCATTTTCAAGAGAGACCTGTTTGGGGAGCAGATGGGGGGAGGGGTAAGGGCCTTGCTCAGGGGCCCAGAGTGGGGCGAATGAGGATGGAGGGAGGTGTGGATGTTCCACCTTTTCCACCCACATTTTGATGTTGACGGTACCGGGAGTTGAACCTGCTACTTTCCGATTACAGGCCCATCTTCTAACCTCTGCGCCACCACTCCCCCAATGATACACTCCCTAAATGGTACATCCATATCTGTACAGTATGTATCTACAATGTGAGTAAATTACAGTGTTAACTGTGTTTTATTTGAATCAAAACTGGATAGCAGAAGAAGAGAATGGAAGAATTTGAGTAAAAAAATAACAAATTACGTAGTAAATTTTTGCTTTTGTTGTTTTTGTTTTAACTTTTTTTTTTGCGCATACACTGTACCCCAATGCTACGGGTATGACTATACCATACCATTTTATTTATAGAGCACTTAAAACAAGGCCAACCAAAGTGCTGTACAGACAGAACAACAGGTAACACACAAAGCAAAATACAAAATGAAGTAAATCAGAATATAGACATAAAAACGATGCAGATAATGACGACTAACCAGTGTGGAGCGAACAGGTTCAAAACACAGATCATCTGGTGTTGAATGCTACTGAATAGTAGTGGGTTTTTAAATGGGACTTCGACACACTTTTGGAGTTTTGTGTGTCACTGCCTTGTTATCGTGCCATCCTGCCATCATGGTTCAGTTCCCGACCCCCTTCCAGCCTCGGGCTCAGGCTCCGGCCTGTCATGGCGGCCGTCTCCATGATCCTCCGTCTGCACGTCACAGATAGAACTCTACGGAATAGTTTGGTTCTGCGGGGAAATCTTGGATGTTCTGTGTCTGCTGGACCCAGATCTAGAAGGCAGTCATTGTCCGTTGCTGCGGTCATTATCATCATCATGCTGCTAACAGGACCATGCTGCTAATAAGACCATGCTGTTAACAGAACCACACTACTAACAGCACCATGGTGCTAACGGGACCATGTTTCTTTTAGAGAACCTCATTGCCAACAGAACGACTCTTCTAATAGGACTATGCTGCTAACAGAACCACATTGCTAACAGTACCTTGCTGCTACAGAATCACACTGCTAACAGAACCACATTGCTAACAGTACCTTGCTGCTAACAGAATCACACTGCTAACAGAACCACATTGCTAACAGTATTGCTGCTAACAGAATCACACTGCTAACAATACCACATTTGCTAACAGTACCATGCTGCTAATAAGACCATGTTGCTAAGAGAACCTCACTTCCAACAGAACCACTCTGCTAACAATACCACATTTGCTAACAGTACCATGCTGCTAATAAGACCATGTTGCTAAGAGAACCTCACTTCCAACAGAACCACTCTGCTAACAGTACCGCATTGCTAACAGTATTGCTGCTAACTGAATCACACTGCTAACAGTACCATGCTGTTAATAGGATCATGTTGTTAAACCTCTCTGCTAACAGTACCACATTGCTAACAGTACCTTGTTGCTAACAGAATCACACTGCTAACAGTATTGCTGCTAACAGAATCATATTTCTAACAGTATTGCTGCTTACAGAACTACACTGCTAACAGTACCACATTGCTAACAGTACCATGCTGCTAACAGAATCACACTGCTAACAGTATTGCTGCTAACAGAATCACACTGCTAACAGTACCACATTTCTAACAGTATTGCTGCTTACAGAACTACACTGCTAACATTACCACATTGCTAACAGTACCATGCTGCTAATAGGACCATGTTGCTAAGAGAACCTCACTGCTAACAGTACCACATTGCTAACAGTACCACATTGCTAACAGTATTGCTGCTTACAGAACCACACTGCTAACAGTACCTTGCTGCTAACAGAATCACACTGCTAACAGTACCACACTGCTAACAGTACCACACTGCTAACAGAACCATTCTGCTAATAGGGCTGCTGTAGATGCATTTCTTTTTCACTTTTGGCGCCTTGTTTTTGTATTTGTGTTGCATGCTTTGTATTTCTTTTTTCTTTTTTTTGTTTTGGTGAGTTGAAGCGGTTCTTCTCGTCCTGGGCATTTCAGTGCTTTGTTAACCTTGTGTTGATCTGCATGACAATAAACCTAAACCTAAAGGCTTCCAATAGTAGATCTTAGGTTTTTAAGAATTTCATTGTGCCGTGTCTTGTCTGTCTGTCTGTCTGTGGGTTGAGTAACTGAACAGATGCCAACTGTGAGGCTTTAGAAATGGTTTTGCACAGCTATCTGTTCTTGACAGACAGTGCCGTTTATTGAATTGTCATTACCACAGGGCCATTGTACCTTCCCACCAGATGTTACTGTAACTAATGAGTAGCTGAGTTCATTTTATGAGGTTAAAGTTGATGCCTTCTGCTACCTCAGTTGTCCAGCCACACCCCTTCTTCAAGCACAAAGGGTCAACTTTAATCCTCTGAACATTTCTTTGTGCAGTTTCACATAGACATTTGTTGTATGTATGTGGAGAAGGTGCATGTGTATTTTCTCAGGTCTCTTCAGCATGTCTCATTTAACAACCTTGACCCCTCTCTCATATGCTTTGTGGGACTGAATACAAAGACAAAATACAATAAAAGAACATGCTGTCACAGCTTTATGCTATAACTTAGTGTGCTATAGGGGCTCATTTTCATTTTTTTCTAACATGTCCTGCTTGGCTAACTACTAATCTAGCTGTCCTTTTCCTTCCATCTCTGCACACTTTGCCCTGTGTTTAAGTAGAGATATTGTCTAACTCACTTCTCACTTGTTGTGGAAGCAGTAATCACATGTTCTGGACTGGCCATCCGTAATCAAGTAAAAGTTTCTCATGCCTTTTAAGAAGAAGAACAGTGTGTACCTGGTAACAGGTAGGAACAGTCACATGAATTATACTGTAAACTTTGGATCAATGCAATTTTTTAAATTTTAATCTTTCCAGCAGCAGCTGTTGCAATCTGTAGACTTCAGTTTAACTTCATCTGAGTCAAACACAAAGTCATTAGTCAAAGGGCAATGGGACATTGGTAAAAAATGGTTCAACATCACAGTGTGAAGTCTGTGAATTAACCATTTAAAAAGTTAATTTCACAATAATTCAATATGTTGTATTATGAAGTGGGTAAAGATAATAGATGGATGGATTATCCTGATGCATGACGGATGGATTGTATCATAAAATATTGCGTTATATGCAGTTTATCACATCATATACTGTATATGATATATCAGTGACTATCATTAAAATAGAAAAGTTGAGAGGAACAATAAAGACTTTTATTCAGACTGATTTACATTTTTTTTTCTTTCCTAGACGGTTTAAGTCTTTGTCTCAGATGTTTAGAGAAGCAGAAATTAAAAGAATTAAGGTGATTCAGGCATCTGCTTCCTGGACGCCTCCCTTGGAGATTTTTTCAGGCATGTCCCAGTGGGAAGAGGCCCCAGGGCATACTCAGAACTCGCTGGAGGCTTCTCTGACCTGGGAACGCCTTGGGAACCCACTGGAGGAGCTGGAGAGTTTTGCTGGGGAGAGGAATGTTTCTCTCCTGGACTTGTTGTCTCCATGATCTGACCATGGATAACGGTAGAAGATGGATATGGAAATGTAAATTATTAAAATCTGCAATGAAAATCATAGTACTCCCAAAATAATGACATTCTTTGAGCTGTCATTCCAACTAAAATCTGACTGAGAGTACAAAAAATAGCAGATCTGCAAACCCAGTTGGTCAGATCTACCAGAATCCTGACCACAGCCACTGACTGTCCACAACACACCTGGATGTTGAGTCAGCATACAAGTTCTTAACAACTGTTAGAGTAGAGGTTATTCACATGTTGCTTCCATGGAAAGTAGGAAAAAAGCCAAAAAAAAAAAAAAAATAGTGTTTTGACTGCCTACTGTATTTCAAAAAATATTTATTTTATCAAAAGTAGAAGTTGAAAATCAGATTATTTTAATTTATAAATTTACAGTTTGTATGTCTAGTATAATAATATTTCTGTGTATACTCTGGACTTTTGCTTCAGAATTAGTGTTTATTTCTAACAGATCTTGTTGAATATTATTTGTAGACTGTTGCTCTAGTGGATGTGTGCACATGTGAAGCTCTGAAAAGCACTTTGGCAGCTCAAGTCTACATCAAATACATTTGCTGCATACATTTTAGATGAACAAACACTTAACAAAATCAAACAGCCACTTGGACTTTTTTTGATATTCCTGTCTTGATTTTTAACAGCATGTAATTACCTTGTTAATAATGGTAGGCAGCCCACACTTCCACACAAAAACTTGCCAAAACTTGTTAATCTCTGTGTGGTCCTACTGACAAAGATAGACCCCCAGACTGAAGAAACGCTGGAACCTTTATTAGCCAAATCCGAGAAGTAAAACAATGAAGCACAATGATGCAACAGAACGATAACGTCCTCACAGCATCAAACTGAAACGATTGAAGGGGTGTTTTCAAATGAATACAGATTATAAGAACAAATTAGACTGAGCACAATATTGGGGGTCTTTGTTACTGAAAGCATTTATTATACTACTGTATCGTTTTGCTTAGAGTTTTTCAAATGTTTGATCTTTTGCAGGCAGTAAAGGCAAGCATGAGTGGGACAATCAACCAGATTTCTCTTAGTACTAATCTGGGCACCCCCTACTTCCTGCGAGTAGACTGGGCTGTGGACTTGGGTGCAGGGTTTACATTAGCCCTCACTGATGGCAGCTCTGCGTGGATTGGAGAAGGTAAAGATTTTAGGTATTTATTGAAATTATTCACAAAACACTTTGACTCACATGAGCATCTTAAGGCCCAAGGACAATACCCAGTCCTTAGCAGTCTTATCTGAGCACAAGTCCAAAATCTTTGCTTTTATCTTGAAAGCAGCTTTTGCAGTGCTTTTATTTTGAAGGCGAGTTGGTGTTTACGTCCATAGTCTCCTGTGTGAACTCTAGCTGTTGAGTCTTTCCACTGGCAATGGACACCTCAAAAACAAAAATACAAGGACTGATGCAGAATGTAGAGTTTTTAACAAGAAACTGATTTCTTATTGGGCGGCATGGTGGCTCAGTTGGTAAACCTGTTGCCTCTCAGTGAGAAGGCCGCAAGCTCAAATCCCGGCCAGGGACCTTTCTGGGTGGAGTTTGCATGTTCTCTCCGTGCATGCGTGGGTTTTCTCCGGGTACTCTGGTTTCCTCCCACAGACCAAAAACATGCATGTTAGGCTGATTGGTAACTATAAATTGTCCCTAGGTGTGAGTGAGAGAGTGAATGGTTGTTTGTCTCGTTTGTCTCTATGTGTCCCTGTGATGGACTGAGACCTGCACAGGGTGTACCTCGCCTCTCATACAGTGACTGCTGGTTATGGGCACCAGTGACCCCCGTGACCCAAAAAGGAAGAAGTGGGTAAAGATAATGGATGGATTTCTAAGTGTTAGTGTTTATTACTGAGGTCACTGGCAATGGTTCCCTGATGGGGAGTTTATGAATCAGTGTTTGGAAGATTCTGTGCACTGAGAAAATGAAACAAGGAGAGGAGAACTTTCCACACATGAGAAGGTTTTAAATTACAGATCCTCTCACTGGTAATCACCTGGCAGCTGTCATTCACGTTTAAACATGACTTCATTCAACCTTTATTTAGACAGGTTAATCCCATTGAGCCTCGGGGACTCGATTACAAGAGAGACCAGTGCTCATGTTGTAACCCAACAAGAATTGGTTTTCTTTCAATAAAAACATATTTTTTTACAACAGTTTCTATCAATGTTCATTATTTACATTAAATATATTAAGCTTAAGTTCTCAGATTCAAACTTCTATTGTTTACTTGCAATGTCTACTTAGCAGCAAATGGAAATTATATTTATAATTGATCATAAAAATTACATTCAACTGTTGATACAGCTCTTTGTATCATTCCATTTGTTTCATTTGTGGCCCTTTGGGGGAAAAATGCTTCCTCACACAATTTCATGCTTACGAGACTTATTTCGTTTAACTGCTCACTAGGCTGCTTTGCCACCAGGTGTACTATTCATCAGGCGGTCCAAAGCGCACGGACACCTGGCTGACCCCAGCTCATAAAGGTCTAACTGTTCTGGACCTTTAAGCGGTGGCACAGCAGTGACCTTGTGTCATCGTTCTTCTTCACTCTGGTGCTGCAGCTTACAGGTGGATAATATAGATTAAAGTCTACAAGGCTCGTCTTTGTACGTACAAGTCAATGCTGAACGTCTGTGTGTGGGGGTGCTACATATGTACATGACTATGTACTCTCTGGAGGGACACCTGGAACATAAATGTTCCTTTTTTTGTTGTCCATCTGCAGAGTTGACAGGTAGAGAAGGGTTGTGACAGTTATGTGTGGGCTTCTGGGTCATCAGGTTTTCCGTGTTTGATGTGTTAATTGAGACTTTCAAGCTGCTGTGAGCAGCTGTGCAACAGCTGATGACATTCCACTTGGTCTCAATGCACGCTTCCTTTCCAAATCTGCATTCACACGCACTCATCACCTCATAATTAGTGTTTATAGTATTTTTATGTTACTGTCTCAAAGCTGCATAGTTCAGTTCTATGCTACTTTGAAAAAATACCTTAAAAAATTATTGTTTAATCAGTGCATTTATTTTGTCAGTTTCAGAGGATGAGGTGACGAGGAAAGCCAGTGATTTGGGCGTCATGAGGGAGAAATACGTTGAAGATCTTCTTCAGGCTTTAACCAAATGCGCAGAAGGAAATGAGGGAGACGACAAGGAGGCGTACTCATTTCGTCTCACTCCTGATCACCGTCGTCTTTCATATCAGAAGATTAGCAACATTACGGTGAGGAAAAGCCTTTGGGAATAATGCTTTTATTATTTTAATCAAAATAAAAAATAATATAAAGAATGTTTGCAATGTTGAAAGAGAAAAATGTACTGGGTATTCTATCATTACAGCGAGACACTGGTATAAAAATAGTTTTACAAATGTTAAATTCAGCTCAACTTCTGCTGCATCATCAGGTAACGCATCTGCTGATGTGATGCAACCGCTAATCAAAGGTTTTTAAAGGGTGAAGCAGTACTCTCAGAGACAGACAAATGAACATGAAAAACACTGGAGTGTTAAAATCAGCTGTTCCTGAACTGACCAAATGGCTAATTTGCCTTTGCCTTGACGTCAAAATAGAAAATCAGTTTTGATATTTTTAGAGATAAAAGGATGCTTTTTTAATAGCTTGCGTATTAGTTTGCAATAAGTTTATCTGTTCTAACTGATAGGGGAATTTACTCATTTTACTTACTGTTCTCAAATTTTCTTTTATGCTTCTACGTCATAATCCAACAACTCAAATGTTACATTTGCTGCTTTAAGTAGGTCATATACAAAGCAATGGGTGATGTGAGTATGGCTGCATCTTTTTGACTTCCTGGGCACCAGTTAGGAGTAAAAACACACTTCCTAAACATACTGAAGTTCTGCTGCTGGGTGAGTTTAGTTGGAACTGGTTCGCAGTGCCATAAATCAGTGGTGAACATGTATGTGTACTTCAGGTGTGACTTCTGTAACAGAGTCCCCCTTTTTGTTGTCATCTCTCCCTGGGGACAAATGTCTTTAACTACATACATCAAAAATAGAAAGGAAGTCCTTCTTTTACAGGGGGCTGTTTAAAAGATAAGGTTTATGGTCTCCTCACATTATAGTACGGTAGTTATAAACGTTTAGTTGCCCTCAAGTTACTGTGAAACAGTCACAAATACTGGAGGGATGTTTACCATCTAGGAGCAACAAATGAGGTAGCAGCCATACAAGGAACTGGTTTGTTAATTAGAATTTTATGTGAAAAATGTACAATAAAAATAGTATTTTTAGGATTATAGGTTAAAGGCTGTTGGGTAATAGGTGACAGTGATTGACACGTTTGATGAAGGACAGTTCAGACGTTTCCCAGAGAAGGTGCCTTCAGGGAGCAGGTCACTTGGGGGGCTTTGGACGCTGTTAGAGCAGAGCTGACCACAGAAAGAAGGCCGGGAGGTTAGGATCACACTGGACACCATAAAATCCTGATTTATGGACAAGGCAAGTCCCAATGTTGATTAGACACCCCCCCCCCCCCCCCCCCGTTCAGTTTCCACTGACTTTGTCTCTGTGGGTTAAAAGTAAGACTGTTTACATATTTGATACTGTATTTCTCTAACACTTACTTTTTATAAAAATTAAAAAAAATTTGGTCCACTGCCATTGTAGGTAATCATATAACTGTGTGTGTGTGCATATGTGTGCAAGCATGCATGCATGTTTGTTTATTTGTCTGTTAATAAACACTCAAATAAACTTATTTATTTGTCTGTTTGTTCTTATGAACCAGTGGACTGATTTTAATGAAATGTCCATAAATCAACCATTGAATCTACAGCTTACTGACTTTTGGAGCCAACCTGATTCAAGACAAACACAGAAATGGCTGTACAGTAACTCAGACAGTTCTGCAGATATTAAATTGGTATTGCAGTAGCTGAAAGTCGTCTCCAACACCTACTCTGAGGGCTAACAGAATTAGTGTAAACTTTGTTTAGACGTTTGACAATTACTGTTTAAGTTCAATTCATTTCAATTTATTTATATAGCACCAAGTTACAAAAGAAGTCATCTCAGGGCACTGAACAGAAACATTCACATACATTATAAATGCCAATTAGTTAAGTTATTTAAGTCTGTTGGCGTCAGCCTCCCCACCATCACAGACATTTACACGTCCAGATGCAGGAAGAGGGACACCTGCATCATGAAGGACCCCGCTCACCCAGCACACACACTTTTTGCACCGCTCCCTTCGGGCAGGAGGTTGAGGTACATTAAGTGTAGAACCACTGGACTGAGGAACAGCTTCTACCCTGAAGCTGTTAGCCCTTCGGGCAGGAGGTTGAGGTACATTAAGTGTAGAACCACTGGACTGAGGAACAGCTTCTACCCTGAAGCTGTTAGACTCATGAATCTCTAACCAGGATAATCACTTAGAAAAAAAATCACTGTAATGCCACTTGATTGTTGATATGTGATGCTGACTGTCCGTGCTGCTGATCTCATGCTGCTGATTTATTTCATGCTGCTGCATTCATTCTTATTCATCTGCTCACACAGACTCATGTTCGTGCTGTTGTTTTTCGGCATATTATTGTTTTTGCACTATTAAGCGTTTAGCGTATTCTTAGTTCATATCTTAGATCTTATTACTGCTTTTCTTTTACAATTTTTACTTTTGTTGGATGGAACTGGGACCCTGTGTACACAATTTCATTCCACCTCATGTACCACATGCGATGCGAATGACAATAAAGAACCTTGAACTTTACCTATTTATCTAAGTCGATCCTGCTTAGCAAATGCTTTTGGCTGCTCCCTTCCTCAGGGCTCAACACAGCAAACTGGTAATTTGCACAAAGTCTTGACAATTGTTTTTATGCCGGATGCCCTTCCTGACACAATCACAGACCACCGAGCTACCATGCACAGCCCAAGGTGTGGAGCAGAGAGAGTTGCCATAAGGTGTCTGGGGGAGCAGCTGGTGGGTGTTAAGGGCATTGCCTAAGGTTTGCTAAACAGATTTAAATAGGGGTGCACCGATTTCTTTAATTTTGGGAAATCAGAAATTGGCCAATACTTGCATGAGAAGCCGATTTTACCCTTTTTTTTTTGTTTTAACAATTGTCTGAAGTTCATTTATATTTCAGAGCAGTACCTCATGGCCAGTTATAACAAGTTTGTATTGTTTCTAGAATCTTGTTCAAGGGCATGCTTTTCAATAAAATAAGATTGGAAAATTGAAGGTGCATTGTGACCTTATAACACCTGACAGTGTTGCTTATAAAACAAAATTGGTATCAGCCAAAATCGGAATCGGCAGGTCAGACTTTTTAGAGATTGGTGATCGGCCAGAAAACTGCCATCGGTGCACCCCTAGATTTAAATGAAACTTTCAGAAAAAAAAAGATGTACGTTTACTACGGATTAACTGTTGTAATTAACCCAATTCAAGATGGCTACCACAGAAAACAAAACAAAAACAGAAATATAACAGTTAATTTTACAGATTATAAATTAATATTTGATGTGCTCATACCTGAGCTTCATGTTTAACAAATACTCCCAAGAGTTAGATCTCATGACATCAAGCTCAATCATGCTCAATATTGTTTTCAAGATTTGACATTTGTATAATTTTATCCATTTTCAAGACTGAATGACCTCAGTTTAAACTCTGGCATGAAATGTGGTGGACAGTATGCATATCTTCAATGAAAGGCTAGACTTTTATTTTGAAATATTAATTTAATTGAGAGCTTATTGTTTAACAAATACAAAATAGTTGGGTTTAAATTTTCCTACCATTGGGTGTTGGTCAGTCGTTGGTGAAAATTTAGCCCAGTAATACTCTTCATGCATTTTGTGGTTTAAAATAGTGCAGTTTAGAATAATTGTTATCCAAACACTAAAAGGGAAAAATGTAACATGTTGCTTCTTCTACATTTTAAACATCTTTGAAGCCAGGACCCCTGTTGAAGATCAAGTATTTGAAGTATTTATTCTTTACTATCTGCTCTTCAGTAAGTCAGGTGCTTCAGCGTGCTTCGTGTTTCTGTGAAAGTTTATCAGGGATGGACTGGTCGACCGTCGCCCCTCACATCCCGCTCTTTATCTGACCTCACGCCTCCTCACAGCAGATGAGAGGGAATTTCTGGAACAAGCTGATCTCAGCGTCTGTGCCCACGCTTCCTGGCCCGAGTGCCCGTGCCCATCCTTGAACACTGTCACTGTGTGCACCCACTCACTTCCCCGTTGTTCAGACACAAAGGTTATTGTGAGATAACATGTAAAGGATCACTGACAGTAAGTTTTTACAGTGTTTTAAGTATTTCAAGGCAGGACGGTTTTATTTCTTAGAACTGAATCGTTGACTAAAAGGGGATATTACCCACAATTCTTGGGTTCAAACGTTGCTTTCAGTCTTCAGCAGCGTATTGGATGGTGTGATAACAAAAGCTTTGTTTTCTGGGTCCACAGCATGTAATGGTATCATTTTCACTGGGGCAGTTGTCCTGCACACCTACATCAACATTTGACCTTATGGTCTGGGTGGCTGACTTGAGACACACACAAACAAACATCTAGACCACACACACACACACTGGACCACATGTTTATGAGCAAACATTTTCATTTTCACACATTTAAGTAACCACTGATGACAGGATGTCATATAGAGTTAATTTTTGTCAGGATGAAGGTCAGAAACCGATAAAACAGTTGTAGGAAGCACAGGATTTCATTTTAACAACACTTTCGTTGTTGACTATTGGTAAAGTTAGGCCACACATACATGATATTGTGTTTAATTTTTTTTAAAAAGCTGAAACACTCACTGTAGTTAATATCTTTAATTTGTTGTTGTTTTAGTTGAGAAGAAAAATGTGGCAGTGAGTTTTCCATCACCGACACAGAGTCTGACCTCCCACATCTTGACAGTAGTTGGCAACAACAAGTGACCTTTAACTTTGTGTCTCAGGAAAAACAAATAAAGAAGAGATTGAATGACTCTTCTGGCTCTATACTGTCTCTTGATTATCCTTTTTTAGCTTGAAAAAACCGTAATTAGCATCTATCTCAAACAATAGGCATGATGCATTTAAGATTTGTAGCTGGTTTTGTGTAATCCGTCCTCTTTCCACGCAGGAAAGGTACATTTTTAGTGATGAGGAATACCTGTGTTCCCTGCATTTGGTTCTCTCAAAACCTGAGAGCAAAGATGATGAAACTTGCAACCGGTGGTAGCAGGAGCAGAATAAATAAACTGCAGCTGGGGTTCGTTTCCAGAGCTCAGCCAGTAAATAGACATTAAGCTTTAGCAGTTAAGATGTCTCTTTCTCGTGTCTTAATCTGGTCGTGTGAAAATTAGGAAGATTTATGAATGTTTGACAATGTCCCAGTCATTACTTTGATACAAGACTTGTACTGTAAATGTAAGACATTAGGCTACTCTTTGAAGCGCACCCAGCACATCAGGGTTCAGAGCTTCGCCTGCATCTGTTTTCACGTGGCTGATTTATTACGCTGTGACCTTCCTCAGGTGCAGAGGTTTAGGCACCGAGGGAAGAAGTAGAGATTAGGTTTGAGGAAATACTGAAGCTTGCAAGTTTTTATCTTGCACAATTTGTGCATCCCTCACATAAGCCAATAAATGGCAAAATTATCTTCTGCTGTGTACAAACTTGTATATCATCCAGGACATGATGAATCATAAGAGTTGAAAAGAAAGCAGCTGGACTTCTACTTTTGAGATGAAGATGTTTTGCGTCTCACCTGGAGCTCTCAAAATGGGATTAAGATAGAACTTCACTTCTTACGCGTCTTTGTTTACTTAGAAAATGCTTAACACTTGTTCTGTTAGAGTGAGTTGTTCATTTTATGTGTATATAGAATTTATTTATTGCTCAAACCAACATTTATATTATTAAAGACAACAAAAGAGCCGTTGAATTAGATCTGCATTCAAAGATACCAGACTAGAAGGTAACAGATTCAAGAGTTAAAATGCTGAAACTGCAGATAGGAGTTGTGTAAATCTGTAAAGTAACATGTTCAAGTTCAGCTACAGAAGAGAAAACAGCTGTGTGGCTTGCTGAGACAGCATCAGTCCAGGTCGGTTAATGACTGTTATTTTATGATCACTTTTGAAGACGGCAACTTTATTACAACGGGTCTTCAACCTCAGCTCAGGAAAGATTTAGCACTGTTCAGCTTTCTGTTTTTCAGTGTATCGTGCGCAGTACTTTGGGGTTTAAATGGAAGTATTTCCAGCACGACAAGCAAAGATGGAACAGTTTTCGGTAACTGCTGCAAATTGCGTTGAGTTTGTCCTGTTTAAAACTGACGGGCTACGGTGAAATTTAGAAAATGTTACACGTCAGCTAAACGCTAGACATTTAAGCTCTTCCTTTTATGCTGCTATGGCGCAGCCCTTCTGTGTGATTCTCTGCCAAGACACAAACCAAATGGGGAATGTTTGATGCCAGTGATTCCACAGAGCCACTGACAAGAACCACAGAGGAAATGACTCACTCTAATACTGCGTTGATGGTTGTGTTTCTCTCAGACACAAGAAAACAACTCATTTTGGAAAAGGTGTAATATTTGTTGCACCTTGGCATTGCAGAACTTCTCATGGTGACAGAAAGGTGCAAATGATTACTCATTTTTTCACTGTTTGCTGATTTTGGAAGGGCAGTGACTTTATTGGATCAAATCTACTATTCTGTGTGTCACTGTCTGGTTTACGATGCCAAAAAAAAAACTTTAATTTTTTGTGAAGTTCCCTCCAGCTTTTCCATCAGGATCCACAGGTGGCTTAGCAAAAAGCTCAGACTTGGATTTAGATCTGTCCTCACTTGGGTTTGCTCAAAAGGAATGGACACCTTGAGTATGAAGTATGAACCTGTCAATGCAGATGAAGTTCAATTGTTGTTATGGAGCTACTTTACTTGGCAGCTCATAAATAATTAAGCTAAAAAAACTCACCACGGAGCCCTTTATTTTCTGCAGTATTGGTGTTAATTTAATTAAACACAAGGGGATTCTGTTTTTTTTTATCATCCTTTTTTCCCCTATTATTGGGGCAGCTGTGACTGAGTGGTTAGAGCAGTTGTCCTCCAATGCAAAAGTTGGGGGTTCAATGTCCCTGGGCAAGACACTGAACCCCTCATTGCCTCCGATGTGTGTCCCATCTGTGCATGAATGTGATCTAAAGCGCTGATTAATCTTTGTGTAGATATAGTAGAGTGCTGTGTGAATGGGTAAATGAGGGCACAGATTGTGTTGTAAAGAGCTTTGAGTATTTTGATAAGATGGAAAGGTGCTTTACAAGTACAGTCCGTTTACCATTTATTAGCATCATTGTTTGTGCTACAGGTGCAGTTGGGCTCTGTAGAGCTCCAACCAGCTTCAGACCCTCAAAAACTGACCCAGGAGATGGTTTGTCAGTCTCTGCAGCGCGGCACAGATCTGGAGAGAGAAAACTCCTGGTTGCAAGAGAAGAACCGTAGGTTAAAACAGGATCGCCAGCAAATTCGTGCAGAGTAAGCAAAAATGAATGTTTGACAGAAAGCTATTTTTAAGTTATTTTGCCAAAAGTTTGTATTAGATAAACCAATACATCTTTTATTTTATTTATTTATTTATTTTCCAAATCTATTCTCCAATACCAAATTCAGGTATTGCTATTGGTGCATTCCTAGTTGTTTTTTTTTGTTTTTTTCCTTCTTTCGGCTGCTCCCTTCCTCAGGGGTCGCCACAGTGAACTATCTCACACAAAGACTTGGCAATTGTTTATTACATCTGTAATTATGCTGGATACCCTTCCTGACACAACCACAGACCACCTAGCTACCACACCACAACCCTCTGTGTGGAGCAGCCATCCAGGGCACACAAGGGAGCAGATGGTGGGGGTTAAGGCCTTGCTCAAGGGCCCAGAGTGGGGCAAAAATGAGGGTGGGGGCAGGTGTGGGTGCTTCACCTCTCCCACCCACATTTTTGATGTTGTTGGTACCGGGAGTTGAACCAGCGATCTTCTGATCACAGGCCCATCTTCTCTAACCTCTGCGCCACCACTCCCTGCATCTCTAGTTTATGTACCTACAAAAATCCCCTGGCACTGATCACAGAAAATGAATGAAAATAAATGAGGTCCAAACTTTAATTATTTAGTTTCGTTTTTAAGATGCCCAGTGCTTCTCTTGGTTAGCGTCACCATTTTATTGTCTTGTTTGTTGTTTGCTGTGTTAATAAATGTGAAGAGTCAGCTGGTGAAAGTCATCTTTATTGATCATTATTTTTTGTTCATTAAAACAAGCAGACATGGACACTGTTCATTTTTAAATTGTATTTCGAACTGCTTCTTCATTGGCTTGCACACGTATCTGGTTTTTTTTTTTTTTCAACAGGCTGGATCATCAGGTTCAGGAAAAGGAGACATTAGAGCGGAAACTGTACTCACATTTTGTCATGGTGTTGAATGAGAAGAAGGCCAAGATCAGAGGCCTGCAGAATGCAGTCCGTCAGCTCCAACACACTGATAACCAACGAAGAGATCAGGAGAGAGTGCAAAGGTCTGCAGGCTGATTGTGAACTGTTTGTATGAATTATAGTATCATTGAACTCATAACGCTGTGTTTGTCAGATATAACTGGTTAGATCTTCTGCTTAAAGCATTTCCAAATGTATTACATAATGCACGTGAGTGCTGTTATCAAGTTAGGGATGTTACCTTTACATTAAAGTTACTTCAACTTTGTAACAGTTGTGCAATAAACAATAATATTATATAGAAACATATGTCTTTTTCTATTTAAAAATGGGTTTCAGAATGCAAAATCATGTTTAAGAAAGGAAAAAGAAAACAAAAAATGATTAGTCCTTTTCTGCTGTCTAATGTGCTGCCAGCAGACCATCCCATAGTTTGTGTGAGCAGTCATTAAATGACTCCGAATGTTGAGCTTGCTTTAATATAACACAGTAAAATGCAGCCAACATATTTCTGTCTACAGCCAAACTTCTGCCACTTTTTCCACTGTGGCATTTGCACATTACAACAAGGTTTGAAAATCATTTTGTTTAAAACTTTCAGCTTATTTTTTTAAATTTCAAATAGGTGCAGTTGTAAAGATAAACCAACACACTGCCATGTGTTGCAAAATGCATAAAGTTGTAATTATGGCCCATCAAAATAATGTGTTTAAAGCTGCATTTGAGGGCTTCGTCACATTGCAAGAAGAATTTAACAGTTTTTCAGATGACTCATTTAAAAAAAAAAAAAAAAAAATTTAATCCACTGCAAATCATCTTTAGAGCCTCCACACACTTCTGTCTTTAAGAAGTTAATAAAGTTAATAAAATGAGACTATCTAGGATTACAAGTACCGTATTTTTCGCCGTACCCGTTGCACCGCACTATAAGTCGCATCAGTCGAAATATGTCTAATAAAGTGGACAAACCCATAAATACGTTGCTTTACCATATACGTTGCATCTATTATGCATCACCGCTGACATGTCGCATAAGTTACACGTCACCACTGACAACCCGGAAATGTGGGCCGGTGTTGTGCCAAAAATCAATTGGCTGCCAAATGGCAGCCACGGGGGCGTGCACGGGAGGACTTTAACAAGAATTTAACAAGATTAACATTTAAAAACAATTATTTGTTTTTTCGAAATTATAGCAAAGGTGTGTCTCAGTCCATCTTTTTCTTAATAAATGATCTTTGATGGTCAAATCAACTGCATTTTCAAAAGCCGATACGCAGAAACATGAATGCGCAGAAGGCGATTCGCTGTGCATTTCTGTGAAATTTAACAAGATAACCACCTAAAAACAATTAAATGTTTGCTCGACTTTATAGTAAAGGTGTGTCTCAGTTGAACTTTTACTTAATAAATGCACTTCATTTGTCAAATAAGCTGCATTTCAAAACCCGATTGGCGGAAGCAGGCACGCGCAGAGGGACGAGCTGCTGTTCATTTCTTCTAAATTTAACAAGATAACGAACTAAAAACAATTATTTGTTTGCTCAGCTTTATAGTAAAGGTGTGTCTCAGTTGAACTTTTACTTAATAAATGCACTTCATTGGTCAAATTAGCTGCATTTTGCCAAGGCGGCACAATGAAATGAAGCTGATTTGACGGTTGCACCAGGCAGAAGACGGTGGCAGGCTATGCCAAGCCGATTATGTCATTAATAGCCACTTTTATCTATTATACGTTGCAGCGGCATGCCATACTTCTCGACTGCCATCTAGCGGTTGAAAATTGTAATGCTCAATATTTTCAGTCAGAATGAATGAAAACTGTCATATCTCAGCCAAAAATTGGTTTATAAATATGGGAAGAAGAAAAAAACATAAATATGTCACTTTGGCGTATAAGTCGCAGGGCATGTAAATTAGGCAAAAAACTGGGACTTATAGGGCGAAAAATATGGTTGGTTTTACAGAAAACTCCTACTGATTCTTTTTCCTATTGGTAAAAAAAATTATACATTTTTGCAAATGTATGTAAATAAAACACTTTTTTGGTGTGATATTTCTTAGCGATAATGACCCAACTCGAGGTGAGCGAGGCAGCCAGAACAAAGAGGAGCGGAGCATTCATTACGTCCGTCCATCTCAGGAGCCAACCATCCTCATTGCAGGTCTGTTGAGCCACTTCTCTATTAAGTACAATTCTAACCTCCTCCTTTCTATTCAGTTCTTCGCAGGTGTATCTCCTTTGAGAGTGTGTCCCCCACTCTGTGGGCTGGATCGTCAGGCAAAGTTTTGGGAGGAGGGGGGGGGGGGGGGGCTTGCGGCATTACTTGCTACTTGCTGAGGACAGTGACTGCTGAATGATTAGTGCCTTCACATGCAGCCTTTAAAAGTTTCCAAACACACCAGAAAAAGTAGATAGATTTGTCGCTAGTTGGTTTTTTGAAGGAAAAAACAAAAGTCAAAAGAGGGGTCTGAAAACACTAAAGTAACTTGGCATCACTGTTCAGAGTCTGTGAGTACAGCCTTAGCTCACCCAGTGACGTCGATTCATGGGTTAATGAACGGCTGCATTTTGCTGACTTCATATCATTTGCTCGGCTCGGCTCACTTGGAAACACGGCTGAGGCACGTCCAAAAATTGAACATGTAAAGGGAGTGGAGACACAGTTGGCCGTTGCTTGGTTGACGCAAACTAATTAAAGTCATGTCCATGGAGAAGTGTTGGTGTCATTGCTTTTATCTGTGTGTACATGTGCTTGTCTGTTTAGAACAGAAGCTCCTTCCCAAAAGTGAAAATGCACAAAAGGTGCATCATACTGTATCTAAGTGAGCAGGGTTTAAAGTGTTAAACATGACGAACTGCTTGCATCCTAATGCACCTTGTGGTGTCATAATGTCACAATCGCTCACTGAAGTTTTTGGTTTCTTCTAAGAAATTTGATTGCCCCATAAACTGAACAATTAAATGTAATTAAATATCCATGCAGAGAGTTTAAAAGCAGAGATCATTCCCTGGGGTAGCTCGGTTCTGGGAAACACTCGTGGGGAAGTCTGCAGTGATTGCTTCAACACGGACAGCCTTGAGGTGGTCCTTCCCTTTCTGCAGCACACTGAGCAGGCAGGTGACGTCATAACTCCCCCCTCCACCCAGTCGGCAGCTCTGGTAGTCTTCTGCTGGGATAACCAGCAGATTACTCTCACAATTATTGTGTTGGTGCTCTGAGCCTAAATCAAGCTTCCATGAGAAAGTGTTACAGTGGTAACACATGTTGATGGTATTCTCTTCACTTTCTTTCATTTCTACTCGCACATATGCTCCCTCCGCCGGTCTTGGTTCAGACACTTTGGCCCCCAGATGGTGTTATTGTGGATTTATCTTGTCATTGAGATCTCCCAATACTTATCTTTCTTTTGAGTTCTTTGACAGTAATTAAAAGAGTTTGGGTATCTCTTTCAAGTTCAAGTATCTTTATTGTCATTTCCATCACATGTGGTACATGAGGTGGAACAAAATTGTGTTCTCAGGGTCCCAGTTACACCCAACACTAGCAACCAATAAAGTATAAAAAAAGTATATAAGAATCTAAGATATACACTGATATAAGCTAAACGATATGCTAAAAGATCTAAGATATACACAAAACACTAATAATATAAATAATATGGTGTTTTAAACAGCAGCCCAAACACGAGTCTGTGGTGAGCAGATGGGTATGAATGAATACACCAGCATGAGATAGTCAGCAGCATAAGATCAGCAGAATGGATAATCAGCACAAATAAGTCACATATCACCATTTGAAGTGGCTTTACAGTGATTTTTCTTTGTTTTTTATTCTTACAGTGATTATCCTGGCTAGGAATTTCTGAGTTTTAACAGCTTCAGGGTAGAAGCTGTTCCTCAGTCTAGTGGTTCTACACTTAATGCTCCTTAAGCTCCTTCCTGAGGGGAGCAGGGCAAAAAGTGTGTGGGCTGGGTGAGTGGGATCCTTCATGATGCAGATGGCTCTCTTCCTGCATCTGGAGGTGTAAATGTCTGTGATGGTGAGGAGACTGACTCCAACAGACTTCTGTGCAGCCTTCACCACTCTCTGCAAAGCTTTTCTTTCTGCAGCTGTGCAGCCTCCATGCCACACGTTGATGCTGGAGCACAGGATGCTCTCCACTGCACACCTGTAGAAGGAGATGAGGACTGAGCTTCCCAGACCAGCTTGCCTCAGCCACCTGAGGAAGTAGAGTCTCTGATGAGCTTTCTTGATCAGGCTGGTAGTGTTGTTGCCCCGGCTGAGGTTGTCATTTAGATGCACACCCAAGTACTTGTAACTGGAGACCACTTCCACCGCAGATCCTCCTATGTTCAGGGGGCGTGTGTGTGTGTGCTTTCTCCATCTGAAATCCATGACCATCTCCTTCATCTTCTTCACATTGATGTGAAGGTTGTTCGTCCTGCACCAGCTCTCCAGGTGTTCCACCTCATCCCTGTAGCTGGACTCATCATTGTTTGTGATGCATCCAACCACTGCTGTACCTTCTGCAAACTTTACAATATGACAGCCTGGATGGGTAGTTGCACAGTCATATGTGAGCAGAGTGAACAGTAGGGGGCTCACCACACATCCCTGAGGGAAGCCTGTACTAAGGGTTCTCACAGGGAGCCTGAGAAGCTGCAGCCCAGCTGAGCACGGCCATCTTGGCTTGTCTTTATTAGCTATGTTTACATGCGCAGAATTCTTTGACCGGATTGAAATGTGTTCTGTTTGAATAATTCAAATGTATTGTTTACATGGGCACAATCTGTTCATGACGAGCGTTTACATGCAGCGGGCTTTGTTCTGAACAACAGTACTGACATGCGCAGAGTGGTAAACTCTCCTTAAAAAAACACCGAAGAAGAAGTTCTACTTCCGGGTGAACGTAAACAAATCTGAGCACCCAAAATGGACCTGCGACAGGTTTTAATGATGGTGGAGACGTTATTGCAATCCCTGACTGAGCTACAGGTAATACAGATCATTATGAGCTCTTTCAAAGTTTCTAGAAGAAATGTGTCGCTCACTGACCAGTTTAGCTTTCCTGACATGCTAATATTATTAGCATTAGCCAGGCGGAAATGGCAGTCGCACATGCGCAGTCAGGTCAGTTTTTCACGATCAGATAAAAAAGAACAGATCAAGCGTTTACATGCGCACCGATCGGGTTACGGATTGGCGTAAACCACCCATTTCGTTCTGATCACAAATTATATCGGATCGCGCCGAATACACAAAAAAAACCCCGAACGGAGTGTTTACATAACACACTTTTATTCCGACCGGCCATTTGATCCGGTTACTTATGTCCATGTAAACATACCCATTGTTGTGAAAATAAGCCATATACTCAAGTCATATGCTATTAAATTCAAATGCATACCTGAATGTATTTTTATTGATAACTATTGTATAGTCTTACCATCTTGTTAGTAGTCACTGATTAGGCACAATCAGTTGTGTATGTTAAAAACAATCGCCATCATGTTTTTATATTCTTTCATCATACAAGTAATTTAACTATTTACTCATATCTCTAGCTTAGTAGCTTAGCTTGATCTAGATCAGTGATGTTTAGTTGACTACGATTTTTCCCCTTTGACATGCTTGGCCCCTGCTGACCTCTGAGCCCCAGGCTGTGTTTTCATACTAAGCAGAGCTGTAGGGGCTCTCTCTTTGACCTGCTCTCTCCAGGTTTAGCTTCTGATGGTGACAACACAGGAAGCATCACTCACAGTGGGGTGGGTGGGTCGAAGATAAGAGAGGAGGAATAAAAGCAAAGTTGAAAGTGACTCACTTTAGGGATGAGACTTTTAAAAAGAAAACTAGAGACTGCTTTCATTTAGCTGTGAATGTGGTAGCCTTCTTTAAAAGTTTTATCAAAATCTGTTCAAAACAAAGTGTTCCTTTGTTCTTCCACAACTTCTCAATCAGGCAGTTTTTAAACACGGGTAGGCTAGTGGCAGTGTTACAGGGCAAACAGGTGTGTTTGCCTCTGTATATAACTGATTGTGACCTGTGTGGAATGCCAGATCTCTATAACCGATAAAGCCTGTGAAGTTGTCCTGGGTTAAGAAAGGTTATCTGGGATAAGATGCCCTTAACTTACTATAAATGTGCCAAACATGTCAGTGAAGGAGAATCAGTAAAAGCATGAAGGATATGCTGTGCTTAGCTCCAGTTTCGAGTCAGACTCCCTTGTCAGCTTTATGAGGGGTGCAAACCCGAGTTCTTTTTGGTTTCTGAAGTTCTTCTTAAAGTTTTATTTTGAACAATGGATACATTTCCCCTCTCTTTAAGTTAAGCTGCTCAATACTTACCTGTGGTGTATTCAAATGTGTAATGGCACCTAAACATGAAACAGTGTATAAAAATATAATTTTAACTTTAATCTTCAGCCATTTTGTTTCTAGCATCCTGTCACATCAAACCACATACTTTGGTCCTATTTTTAGGTGTATCTATATAAAAGGTTAATGACAGTTTGACTGGCAACATTTTCCTTTAGAATTCTCTGACTTGGTCATTCCAAAACATGAACTTTATTCTTCTTGAATCATTTTTTGGTAGAACGACTTGTACTTTGGGTCATCGTCTTGCTGCATGACCCACCTTCACTTGAGATTCAGTTCATGGACAGATGTCCTGACATTTTCCTTTAGAATTCTCTAATTCAGAAATCATTGTCCCATCAATGATGGCAAGCCACCCTGGCCCAGATGCAGCAAAACAGGTGCAAACCATGATACTACCACCACCATGTTTCACAGATGGGATAATGTTTTCATGTGGTGTTTTCCTTTCTCCAAACATAAGACTTTTCATTTAATCCAAAAAGTTATATTTTGGTCTCATCTGTCCACAAAACATTCTTCCAACAGCCTTCTGGCTTGTCCATGTGCTCTTTAGCAAACTGCAGACGAGCAGCCATGTTCTTTTGGGAGAGCCGTGGTTTCTCCTTCAACCCTGCCATGCACACCATTGTTGTTCAGAGTTCTCCTGATGGTGGACTCATAAACATGAACTATGTTTACATGGAAAAGTAATGGGATCAAACGGCAGTTCGGAATAAAAACGCGTCCTGTAAACACCCCATTCGGGTTTTCTTTTGTTTATTCAGCGTGATCCGAAAAAATTTGTGATCAGAACGAAACGGGTGGGTTACGCTGATTCATAACCCAAACGGTGCGCATGTAAACTCTTAATCTGTTTGTTTTTATCTGATGGTCAAAAACTGACCTGACTACACATGTGTGACTTTGTCATTTCCACCTGGGTAATGCTAATAATATTAGCATGTTGGGGAAGCAAAACTGATCGGTGAGTGACACAACATTTCTACTAGAAACTTTGAAAGAGCTCAAAATGATCTGTATTACCTGTAGCTCAGTCAGGGAGTGCAGTAACGTCTCCACCGTCATTAAAACCAGTCGCGGGTCCATTTTGGTTCCCAGGTTTGTTTACGTTCATCCCGGAAGTAAACCGGAAGAAGAACTTCTTCTTCTGTGTTTTTTTTAAGGACAGTTTACCACTCTGTGCATGTCAGTACTTCTGTTCAGAACAAAGCCCGCTGCATGTAAATGCTTGTCATAAACAGATTGTGCCCAAATGATACATTTGAATTATTTAATCTGAAAACATTTCAATCCGGTCTAAAATTTTTGCGCATATAAGCTAAACTAGTGTGAGAGAGGCCTTCAGTTGCTGAGAAGTTACCCTGGGGTCCTTTGTGAACTCGCAGATTATTCCATGCCTTGCTCTTGGAGTGATCTTTGTTGGTCGACCACTCCTGGGAGGGTAACAATGGTCTTGAAGCTCCTCCATTTGTACACAATCTGTCTGACTGTGGATTGGTGGAGTCCAAACTCATAAGAGATGATTTGTAACCTTTTCCAGCCTGATGAGCATCAACAACTCTCTTTCTGAGCTCCTCAGAAACGTTGTGAAGAGCAGACTTCGATAGATCCCTGTCCCTGTTGATTTTCTAGATTTACGCCGCTCAAGGTGGCTGCATGTTGGAGCAGCTCTGCTACTTTCATTCTGAGATTTTGCCTTTGGAAAATTTAATTCCTCTTTTTTCTGGATGTAGATTACATTTTTTGGCTGATTGTTTCCTCTGGTATCAGATGCTGTGCATCTGGAAGGATTTTTACTGAAACTTTTTTAGTTTTGGACATTTGTTATGATGCGTAACCATGGCAATAAGGCAGTTTTCTACAACCAACAGCAACTGATTAACATCTCAAAAGCTCAAATAATCTCTCAACTACAGCCCCAAATCTCAAATGAGTTGAAAAGGATGTTCTGCAGACGCATTCTCATCTACTTGCCAGCTGTGCTCGAGTGCCTGATCACTGAGATCCTGGAACTAACAGGAAACACGGCTCATGACAGCAGAAGGACAGGGTCATCCCTCAGCACCTACAGTTGGCTGTCCACAACGACGAGGAGCTCGGCAGACTGCTGGGAGGAGTGGCCATCACTCTGGGAGGAGTTCTGCCTGGCATTCGGGCGGTCCTACAGCCCGGGGGAACTGAGAGGCCAGCCGAGTCTGGGTGGACGGATCGGACGGCATCTGCAGCCAATTTCTTAGTATCCACTGTGGGATGGACCTTTACAAGAGATCCTTCCTGCCTACAGCCATCAGTATCTATAACATCTCTTAATGAAATGAGGATAACAAGTTACAACAACAAATAATTTCCCTTTGGGATTAATGAAGCATTTTTTAATTAAATTGAATTGAATTGTTCTTTAAATCAAAAAGGGGCCCACTCACACCTCATCATCATCCCATTGATTGCAAACACCTGACTCTAATTTCATCTTCAAATTAACTGTAATTCTAGAGGTTCACATACTTTTGCCACTCACAAATATGTAATATTGGATCATTTTTCTCAATAAATAAATGACTAAGTATAATATTTTGTCTCATTTGTTTAACTGGGTTCTATTTATCTACTTTTAGGACTTGTGTAAAAATCTGATGATAATTTAGGTTATATTTATGCAGAAATATAGAAAATCCTAAAGGGTTCACAAACATTCAAGCACCACTGTATGTGCAGAGTTTGCTGCTGGTAGTTAGAAATTACTTTTGGTCTTGCAAAAGTACAATTTACTGTGGGTCAAATTGTTATTCTTTAGTATTTTTCCTAAATTTAGATTAAAAGAAATATGAACCGATTGTCCAAAAAAGTTCAATCTGGTCCTCTGGACATTCAAAAAAAACAAAACAAAACGAAGCAAAAAAATATAGAAACGTTTCGTCTCTCATCCAAGAGTCCAGAGGACCAGATTGAACTTTTTTGGATTTTTCTACCTGGATTATTGAGCATGCATCAGGATGAACCGATTGTGTCTTTGTCACGGGTTACTTGTTTATTTTTACTGGGTTTTGGTTAAGTTGTAGATCCAACGTTAGCAGTATGACGAGACAGTTTATCAAGGAATGTTTAATACAGTATTTTAATTTTATAATGTTCATACTGGGATGATTTTATATGAACTTCCTTAGAGTTTGATACAAAAATGTATATGCAATGTTGTTAAACATTTTAATGTACCAACAACTGCAAAGGAATGATAAAAATAGTTTTCAAAGTCTGTAATTTCTGTTGGTTTGTAATGTTTGTTAACTCCTTTTTACAGGTTGTAACTTGATGTCACACGGCTTCTCTATTGATCAAACCTTTGATGAGGACAACAAGCTGAGACGCAGTCGCCTGCTTCACTCACCGAGCCCAAACTCCTCTGAGCAGGAATAAGACTCAAGGTTAGTCCTGTCAGGGGGCTGAGATGAGTAGAGGCAGGGCAGCTGACTCGGGACCCGAAAGTCCCAGGCTCAATCCCCAGTCATTGCACATCTTGTGGTGTCTCTGAGCAGCATACCCTATCCCCAATTGCTCCCTGGGCACCCTCAATAGCCACCCACTGCTCCACCTGAGTGTCTCCCAGGTGCGGTGGGTTAAATGCAGAGAGACAATTTTGCCATTGTATGGGAATATACAATGATGACAACACATAACACATAATTATTATAAACTGTAAACACAGAGTACACATTTGTAATTTTCAGGTTTGAGACAATGCTCAGCTTTTACTCTTGATTACAGACAAACTGGCCTTAAATTAGAGTTTACCAACATTTTGTAAAATTACAAGATTTTTTTTCATTTATTGCTCAAAAATTAATGTATTAACAAACATGGAATGCTGCTGAAATATTTCATCCCATTTATTTGATTTACAGTCTTACAAAGGTCTGAATCATTTATTTGTTGTCGTTGCTGTGAGCGACTCAGCTGAGCTGTGGGCAGTTCTACAAATGTATAAACCACAACTGCTGAGAGGAAAGCTGCACCCCTTCTTTTGCAGCTAGCCAATAATCATAGGTGTGGTGCCCTTAAAGCCTACAAAATGAGCTATATGCAAATGGCATGGGAATTTTAAAAGTCAAAAATAGTTGTATTTTTTTGCATTTGGCATTTGAAACATTTTTTTACATCTTCAAATTGGAGTTGAGGTTTATTGTTTTGGATAGCAAAATTCAGCTTTCTGTGAAAATTGTCACACCAGTTTTTGTATTGTATCGTTTACTAAGACAATCACTTCATTTTAGTGTGCTGTCGTAGAATTTAGGTTCTGATAGCTAAATAAATGTCAAATAAAATAACTGTAGTGTGTACAGTAGTCCCTCATTTATTGCGGGTGTTAGGTTCCAACCCCCCCCCCCCCCCCCCCGCCATCCACAATAAGTTAAAAATGTTTATTTTAGTATTTATATATATATACATAT